GTGCTCGGCCAGCGCGTGGTGGTAGCCGCCCACGAAGTCGATGAGGTCGGGCACGATCACCTGGTCGTACAGGTTGGGCGGCAGGTTCTCCTGCGCGGAACGCTCCTTCTCGACGTCTGCGGACACACAACCACATCCACCTCGTCACACGACCGCTTAACTGTAACACTCAGCAAGGGGGAGATTCCGTTGCGAGTGCAGACGCAACGGTGTTGTCAAAAATACTCTCTCCTTTCTGCACATGTTATAAACTCAAATTAGTTTCTTTTTATTTAGTTGATTTTCAAAGAACCTTCAAATTAATATTCAGTTGCCCATATACGGATTTCCCAGCAAAATTATTACTTATAAATTTTATTCTTACATATTATTATTTATAATTGTTAAAATTAATATTTGAATGCAATAGATACCATATTGAAAACTAATGAAAGATTTCAAAGAAAACACATATATAGGGTAATGTTTGCCTCGTACGGAAACTACTGGAAGCATCAGAATGCAATAACGCGCAAGCTGTAGTTTTGTGTTCCATAAACAATAGGGCATAATTGAGCTCTTCATTGAAGTGCTCAATATGAAGGAAGGAAATAAAATGCTGATACTTAGGGAAAGGAATTTTGGTTTAATTTCACATTAAAGAACCCCCAAGTGCTGGCTGTACAAGGCGATTCCGCCTCTGGTCCACCATTAGAAAATTAACTTGGGATAACTGCTCAAAAAGCGAAAATTGTAATCGCATAGAATCATTTACGTTTCAGGATAGTAGCTATAAAAATTAATCCTGAAACAAAATTTACTTTCCACGGACATGAAATAAAGAAATATATTCCATTAATTCCATAGCCAGGACAGCATTGCGTAGTACGCTTATACGTAATCGCTGTTGTAATATACAATACGCAACAAACAATGAAGCAAATACTGTTACTTGTTCTTTTAATGCAACACCCAGGAAGCTTACATCACCAGTCATGTGATCTATGGATGTTGGAATTTCCATAACTTCATCAGAAATGTCGAAGTGAGATAACGAAATACAGATTAGTGCACTTCCGCTTGCGACGTCTGGCGCGCAGATGATGCACGCTCGGCCTGAGCGTGAACCAAAAGACATTTGGGATTACAGAGTGAAATTACGGATGAGCGAGAAGATCCACCACATCGTACAGCAGGAAGGCGAACGTGAAAGCGTGCGAAAATTAGATAGAGACACTGTTAGCACAAGTTACATTGAAAATCAAACCCACTGTGTCTGAAAACACGTACTTCATACAGTATGGAAAGCAACCATTAACAATTACAGAATTCTTGCAAATAGTTGACATTTCAGTATTCATGACATGTCATAAAAGAAATCGGTAGATACTACTTATTGAATAATGTCCTTTCAATGTTCAAATTATGTATTTTTGTTTTTCTTAATGAGAACTCCTGAACTAACACATTTGTCATAAACCTGTTTTTTTTAATATAGTCATAAAGGGCCAGGATTACATGAGAATGTTCTATTTGCATTGGAGATATTACAGAGGTGTACGGAATGGTACAATACCTAGTTCTGGGCAAGCGAAATTATTAGTGAAGAACACCAATAGAGAAATGAAAAAAGTCAGTCTCCTTGACGGTTGTAAAACACGAAGTTGGCTCGAAAGAGGCATTTAAGCTTATCTTTGAATACGCAGAAGATAATATTTGTCAAGATTTACAAGACAGTACAATTACAATTTATATGACAGGACAATACGTTGTATTCGAATTCTTGAGGTCAGATCGCGAAAAGTGGAAAAAACCGAGTGGAGATCTATGTGACAAAATGATCCGAAAAACAAGTAAAAATAAGAAATAAAAATGCCTGTACTACCTCGCCATGAAACATAAGAAATGTTACGGAAGAAGGGTGATACGTGCAGACTGACAGATCAACAATTATGATGAAGACATGGTGAATTAATGAATCCTCACCTTCTGAGAGGATAAACTACGTCGCCACCTTGATTACGGGACGTTTCGATCAGGAAGAGTGGAGCAAGGTGGGGTAAACTAGAGTAAGGGGTAGGGGAAGGGAGCGGAGTGGTGAGGAGGGTGAGGCGCAGATAAGTGGGGCGGGGTGGGGCGGGGCGGGGCGTGCGACAGTCAAGGTCGCGCTTTTCAGTATCAAGCGCACTTCCCGGCGCAGCCTTCCGGCCCGAGGCCTTTTTCAATTCCTACTTTACATAAACAGGGCCCCGCGGCCGCCCCCGCTCCCGCCCTCTGTCCCGGGCACCAAACGTGCGGAAGTACAGGCGCGTCACATATTGTCGAATTTCCTCTCATTAGAACCCCCACACAGCCACACATATTGGCCCCGTTCGGCATTGACGCCGATTAAAAGCCATTGATTCGTGTCGGTGTGCTGCCCGATGTCACCCGTGTGTTGTTATTGTTGCCGTTGTCGACAGCTCGGCGCCGGCCCCCTCCCGCCCTCGTCATCATCTATAGAACGCGAGGATTCAGGATATCCTGGCCCGACCGGCGGGGGATGTCGCTTTTCAGGCCCTTCCCGGACATCACACATCCCCTTCCTGGACGTTCGGGTATTGTGGCGCGGCGCCCGGGAGCTGCCTCCCAGTCGGCCGGCGGCGGCTGTCGGGACGTCGCGGCGCTCCAGCCCTCCCAAGGGCTCCCAGGCACTCGGCGCGGGCCGGCGGCAGCCACGGGGGTGCGCCGGCCACGGCACGCTCCACGCGCACCGCACCCCCGCAGCCCCCGTCGCCACGAGCCACCGGCTGACGCAGGCACCAGATATCAACGGCAGGGCGCTATCTGTCGACGAACTCACCCTGGACGTTCTATTTGAACGTGGTTCTGGATACACGAACGAGGAAGATTTGGTCATCCTGCTGCCTCCGTCGCAGTTTCAAACATCAGAAGACTGTTAGCTACATCGGGTGTTTAGCAAACAATATTGCTGTCAGATATTGCGTTTTTGTGCGACTGAAGTGTGAAGCCCAGTTGTTGAAAACAAATATCGTACGTGTGCGTCACCAAAAAATCTATGTCTGCGCCGAAATGAATGTTTTTTCGGAGTGCCACCCCCCAAAAGTGAAGTGCGTTTTCTCGTCGAAGAGTGGCTGCGTTGCAGATATACCAGTAATACATCGGAGCAGGCTATTCCCAGTATTTTTTAAAACGAGCGTTAATGAAGCTATTCGAAAGTGCCCCTTGATTGACGTCACACGCCTCTTCACTTCTCGTCCAGCGCTCCGACCAGCTGCTCCGCATCCTTCAACAACCGACCGCCACATCCCGGACTCGCGCCGTCGTCACGTGCCGTTGTCGCCACCCGTCGAGAGGAAACTCTCGCGTCGAGAGGGCGTGCGAGCCATCACGCGTGCGCCGCTGCAGACGGCGCGGCGTCGCACCCACCCCGTGCGGGGCGGACGCGTCGAACGCGTGAAGAACAACGCGTGTCGCAACGGGGCTCCGCGGAAAAAAGTGACGCTCCAGTTCGTGCGAGTGCGTGTTGCGTCCAGATAGCGCACGCCTTCCTCTTCACGCCGCCGCCTGTTGTGTCGGTGAGCGTTTCCGATAATGCGCAAACCAACCGCCCCGGCGACCCCGTTGCGCCCGACGAGAGAAAAGGAAAAGTTTTATTTTTGTATTTTTTACAACGGCGTATAAATCCAAAGTGATTCCAGCAACTTCCGCTGGCCATCTCTTTGCGGGGGTGGTGGATTGTTCAACTTGGACGTTCCATCACATTTGCGTGACAAAAGGCTCTCCATTTTAGGGCAGCAGTGGTGGAAATGAGCGCGTGTTTGTGTACGTGAGTGTGTGTGAGTGATTCAACCGGAATGGAGAGAGAGAGGAAAAAAAGATCGCCGCCAGGATGTGGAGAGGCCCGTGTTCGCGCATGGGTTGCTGGTGATGTCGGGCGTGCTTCCTGATCACGACATGCAGGGTCCGGCGGAAGGCCATCGCTCCACGGGGCTCCTGTTCGCGTTCGGATTCGGGGCGCAGTTACCTTCGACTCTGGCAAACGGTAAAGGGTCTACAATTAATAACGCACTACTTACATAAATATTTCTTCCAAATCTGTATGATTTTGCATGACAAGTACTACGTATCACAGCATGCTGACTCGGCTAGTTATTCGAGTAAAGACCACTGTCCAGCTTGTGTGGGCATACACGCATTCGTTTTCGTAACAGAACACGTCACTATCCAATGCAACCTAACGTTCAAGACAATATTTGCGTACCCTTTACTTCCCCGAGATTCGTTATGTTGTTCGATCTGAAAGTTGTTTACGAGTTTGATGTTTTTCCTTAATTGATTCAATACCAACGAAAAATATTCGCTAAGGTTATTTCGCCCTAAAAACACTAGCACACTAGTGATCCATTACCACAACCAACTCTTCCGCTCAACCTGTTGTAAACGAAACCTCGGCAAAAAAGTGTGTTTAAAAACAGAACTGTGATGAGTCAATCAGTCACTTAATGTGGTTAGCCTAGTAATAATAGCATCTTACTTCACAGGAAAATTCTAAGACCTCTTTCAGTCCCGGTGCAGAAACGTTTTTACTTTCTCACCGTCCGCCTCAGAGATCGCTCGGATGAATCATAGGTTTCGATTGCGTCTATCGCGTTCTCTGCTCGGTCGGAGCTCGGAAAGAAGTTAAAACGTCCAAATTGCATGTAAACCAATTTGCAGGATTTACAAACACGGCGTTCCGAAAACACGCTCATCGTCTTCTGAAATAACGCCTTTGCGCCCCCTGAAACCACTTAACAGCCTCGGCGCCGCCCATTCACTGGGAGGCTGCGAGTTTGTTTTCAGAGGGCCGGCGCGGCCGCGCACAGTGGTCCGATTTGTCGACGCGCGCGGATTTCAAAGCCGTCGGTGGATTGTGTAAACGCAAATGCATTTTCTCTCGCATAGTACCTCTTCATTCCGCTTTTGGAAACAATTCGGCTCCAATTAGTGAAGTTTTACGAGTATAGATATATAAAACAAGTGTTAAACGTACGTTTTAGCAGCGTTCTACAAATAATAAATGAAAATGCTTTCTTTTTTCGATCGCAAAATACTTATTTTACGAAACAATAAAATAGGACGTACAGAGTTTAGTTCCTTGTGTTAGTAATAAATTAAAGGAAAAGCTGATACTAATAAACAAGTTTCAGAATTAATAATACGAAATATCAGGGAAGTGAACGGCGCAAATATTGCCCTTAAAATTATTCCGATGCTCCACAGGAGTGAAATTAAAAAAAAATATTAATAATAAATTCAATAATATTTAATATAAAACAATGAAAACAAAAGATAGTATAGCTAAAAAACAATTGCTTGAAATCCATCTTAATCTTTCAATTATACCATTACTCAACCACAAACTCATTTCACACTTTCTGCAAAGATTCAACTAATATTCTTTTCGCGCCCCCACTCAGTAAGACAGACGTAATTTCGGGGAATCTAAAATGAATTATTACGAGTGTGCTGATAATGTGGTTAAGCTATGACGCGGAGAGGCGAGTGGCTTCGCAAGGCGCAAACGCGTTGGGGAATTGGGAGCGCGGGGGCCGCAGAGCTCGACGCATCGCACCCGCCGCCGCCGCCGCTTCGTGGAAGCGCGGGCGAGTGGGCGAGCGGCGCGCCCGGAGCGCGCGTTTATTGTGAAAAGCGGCGCGCGGGGGCCGAGCCGCGCGGACGGCGCTTTCATGTCCGCAGAGCGCGCGCTCGCTTCAGACGCGATAAGCGCCCACGACACGCCCCACACGCGCGGGCGCTCCGCAGGGACCATAATCCAAGCATTTTAAACAGTGTGGAATAAGTTTTAAAAAATGAATACAAATGATAAATTGTTAATTAAATTAATATTTTTAACAAATCACGTACTATTGAAATTTAATATTCTAACTGCCGGCTGTGTGTCCATAGTCATACTATTTCTAGTCGAAAAATTAATACAAGTACTTATTACTTAATAATTAAAAATATTATGATGTGCTACTTCGCTTCAGGCAAAGGTCCTCTTCACAGGGGATTGGTATCCCAATGCCGATTATCCTCGTGGGCGGATCACATACAGAATGCATAGAGTGCATAAAATTTCTTACTTTACAGTAATTACATTTGGATGACTGTTGGAAATAAAGGAAGCGGCCATTCCATCAACAATTATCAGTCAATTCCAACAAGTTACTCTAAATTTTCGTGTAATTAATTTGGAACTTGATAGAGAGAAAATTATGGATGCTTCTACTGGGTTAATTAAGTTAAAATAAACCTTTCAGACTTTTAGAAAAACTTATTTACCGGAGTAGGGATGGACTAACGATTAATAATTTCCACCTGGGAAAAAGTATTTTCGAAGTCTACCGTCTCACTTCAGTATCATCATTTAATTTTCGATGACATGATGTGGAATAGTCATGGTCTTGGGACAAGACTGGAAATTCCGAGTTCGCGTAACGCCCACCAGATAGCGCGCAGCGCCGGCATCACCATTCGCATGGCGGAGCGTAGACGAGTGGTCAGGCTGAACTGGACTCGACTGGGAGGGGCGGGGCGGAGATACAAGAGAAGGTAGGGTAGGGGCGTCGCAGGGCCAAGCAGGTGATATTAGACCTGGCTGCGAGTAGAGGTGTGGCGGCGTGGAGGGACTCGGGATGGCGCACGGAAGCTTACAGCCTCAAAAAAGAGATGGTGCTTGATGATTGGACGTGGCACTGGAAGAGGGATAGGGCAAAGTAAGAACCGTGAGGGGAGAGTGTCGAGGTGAGGGAGTCGGGCGACTGGCGGAGAGGCGGGGTGAAGTGGGAAGAGGGAATGGTGGATGAAGGCGGGGCGGCGCAGGGGACAACGAAGCGGGAGGAGCGGCCGCGCAGTGTCGTGCATGTTTGTTATGGTTCGCCGCCGGATGTGAACATGTGGGTTGGCGGCGGGTGGCCGCTCCTCAACCGCTGTGCATGGCGTCACCGGGCTTGGAACCGCAGACCTTCGGCCGCGCCGCTCAGTAAAGTCTTCTCAATTTTCGACTCGGCGCGTGGCCTCCCGCTTTCTTTTATGCCTTGATTGATTTTACACTCTAAACCATTTCCATTATTCTGTATTTGAAGGGAGACAGGTTGGTGCAGATACATCAGTCTCATTTATTTTAAATAGTTGTTACAGGCTGTATTAATTTATGTCAATTATAAAATAATATTTCGCAGAAACGTCGCCTACTACGCATAACCTCTTTGATAATTAAAGTATACTTACTCTGTTGGCTACGTAAGTCTTTCGCATCAGTTCTCAGCAGCATGCTTCAATTTAGTGCGTTAAAGAAAAACTAAATTTTACGATAAAGATTGTTAAGTATAGTTTCTAAACAGTGGTTAGAAATTCTATCGATCGTAGTATTACAATGTACACTTTATTTTTGGGTTACGTTTACTTCTACAGCTTTGTAGTTTCACATTCGTGCATTCATGGGAGATAAGGAAGAATTTATGTTCAGTTGTTTTACTTGGAAGATAAATTCGGGCACAGGTACAATAAATTATATTTTCCATTCAATTCTTTATTAACTTGGATGTTACAAGTTCACTCATACAATAGTATTTTAGATAGGGCCGTTTCATCGATTGTTCAAACTAATGAATAATGGATCGCATGCATGTTCATCACCTCGCGTGATACCGTGGCATTGCATTTCAAGCGACAAGCACACAGTATTAAAATAACCTTGACAAGAACTACTTCGACTGTTTCTTCAAGTTTGAGAAAAGAAGTGGACGATATAACGATACATCAAAACCGTAGTAATTAAGAGTTACCTACAAATAGAAATATCAGTAACTACTACATTGCAAGTACTTTGTTTCCTTGTCTACATGACGTTGAGTAGGTAGCAATAGACATGGCAAAAGAAACAGAATCATAAGGTCCTTGAAACAGGCCGTCCAAGTCGAACATTCCTCAATTCTTTAGAAAGTTTGACAAGTCAATCTATGAATTTTCGTAAGGACCAACCCAAGTACAACATAAAGAACACCCTTCCCCTTCCAGGATCGATAAAATTTCGAACCACAGGCTACCAATCTGCAATCTCACGGGCTCGAATTCTGAATATTCAACGCCGTGTACCGTCAGATGTAATGAATGTACCTGCGCCGCACCTCGGCGCATCTTAAGCAGCCGTCGAGAAAAGACCCTTCGTACTCGCTCATGAAAACAAAATGGGCTGGTCGCGCCCCGAAGGCCGTCACTCCCGCGCGCCTGTCCGGGCCCCGGGGCCACCCGCCACCGCCGCCGCAGCTCCCGCCTGCCACCCCGGCGCGCGAGGTGTCAACGCGTAACGTGCGCCCGCGCCCGTGCCCCGCCTCCCAACGCGCCGCCAAGGACCGCCCCACGCCCACGCGCGATATGCATCTACGGACTTGCCACCGCGGGAAGCAAGGGGAACGCTCCGCGAGGGTCTGCGTGTTTTGCATGTTGCCAAGTACGCACCAATAACAGGAACTAACAAGCGGTGGATGTTTTAAAACAGAAAGTAACCTTGATTATTACGTGTAACGCGTCGTAACTGGAAATATTTTTTATTTCCTCCGGCCCGATTGTTTCCTCAGCTTTGGTGCTGATGGGTATTGGTATTCATGAAAATATTTTTGCGGCGCTCATGAAAAAAGATTTTAAATGTTGATATCATAAATGTGAGTAATTTAATACGGATGAATATTAACTCAAGATGTGGATTTAAATACAAAAGGATCGTTATTTTGAAGGTTACATCACTGCAGAAATACATTTGGGGTTATGTTTATTTCTTGAAGTTGCTGGTAATGCACATTCAATTTTTTGAAGTAAAATATTTTGTTGGAATCTACATAACCAGTTTTAATGTTTTTAAATAAGCCTATCCCATCGTGCCGGGAAATTGCAAATTTTACGTACTTCGCAAAACAGTACAATTTATCTCACAGTAGTCTTCTTAACATTAAACACTTTCTGGACTTTCGCAAGAACATATTTCTTGCCAAAACATAA